TCAATAAATCTTCACACACCTGATGGATATTCCTTCTAGAAATATTTGGATTCGTGTATAGGGTCATGATTTAGACAGAGTGATAGTCCGAAGGTGGCTCTGCTTGATCATGGGCATGTTAGCGGAACAAGAGGCATAGTGCCTACCACGACTCGGCAGTCATTTGAGTTCCCTTTGCATGTACTGATATTCTTGATGATTCGATATGATGACTAGCGTGTTCTACCTGGCCAGAAAACTCAAGCAATAATCTGTACGTCTAGCCTGGATAGTCACCATCAACTATCTGACCTGGTATCGTTAGCGCAAAGCTCCACGTGGAATGTCCACAGTTCATGTCCGACCAAAATCAAATTTGGTAGACTACGTACTCGCCCGTTGGCTTTGGCATCTGGACTCGGGGATGCAGATCGCCGAGTTAGTAAGTGAGAACTTGAATTGTCACATGGGCAACAAAATAGCGAAGACGGGACGTATTGCACGGTGCTCCACAAATGGGGACTGTTTCGGAGCTGCTGAACCCCTTCTGGCAGGGTCAACATTACTAGGCTCGGGTACTTCCACACACTGCAATATCCTGTCCAGGAGTCACCAGACACCGTTATCCAATAGACTGACTTACCGGCGAGACATGATTTCCCAGGAACCAACCGTCCGCATCCCACCCTTCGTCTCTTTGAATGAGATGGCGAGCTGGATACTCACAGAGGGTAGAAACTCGACAGAAGATTGGACTCAATCGATCATAGGCGCTGGGAGATCCTTGGCACGAGGGAATACAACAAAAGTCAGGCACGGTAAGTCAAGTAACACATGCCACGCGCAAAGTTTAGCATACTCCGCCAGGCGGGCCGCAACCAGGTTCCTCGCCGAGCAGGGTCGGAGGAGGAGCTTGCGGGGTTATGGCTGATACCGGAAGCCATGGGGTTCCCTCCTTGATAGGTATCGATACGCAACATATGATAGCACCCAGTCGTCAAAGCAATGTCTTGGTATGCTGGTATCATCTCGCATCATGCCCTCTCGGGATAACCTCTTGTTTCGACCCCATGAGTAGGCGGGGGTGTCTGTACACACCAGTCTGCGAGTACGATCTCTCTTGATCCCTCCGAGCATCTCACGGCATTTCCGAATACGGACCGAATTGTGGACACTTTATACTCGTGGCTATTGCGCAGTGTGTGGAAGTACCCGAGCCTAGTAATGTTGACCCTGCCAGAAGGGGTTCAGCAGC